GTTGCAGTTCCTTGCCACTAGGCCACCAGAGCTCCCCCAATCAGATCCATTTTAATGGTAGACACACATGAAAAGGGAAAGCTCTGGTGGCAAGAAAATGTGCTGCAATCCCAAAGACACACAGTTCTAATCTACCAGCTCTGCTTCACGGGAGGATGTGCAGTTTCCTTGGGAAAAGGATGAGCAGTCTCCACCTGTGTGATTAACTGCCTCTGAAAACCTGCCAAGGGTCAGCTATGGATGGGTTCCATCTCTAGGGAAGATCACAACATGCTGAGCTAATAAATAATCTCAAATCATCTTCTCTTAAATCAGTGCTGTATACATCAGGACTATAACTTTGGGGGAAGAGCTGCTCTTACCTTTTTCTGTCTGAGCTACTGTTGTCAGTCATCTTTGTAACATCCTGTTAGTGTAAGGCATGTAAAAGAAGAATAGTGGTAACATTGGTAAGATCTAGGTCAGCCTCTGCTAACTCCACAAAAACCTGTCCCCATCAACAACATCCACAGTATAAAACTGATCCCTGCAATGTCAGACATGTCCCCTCATGTTCATCCTGAACCTATTTCTACTAATCAGTGGATTCTAAGTTTGTTGCCAGTGACTTACAGACATGACTTTACTCAGAGTTGTGGGGTTTTAAAAAGGAAATAAATTGGGAGATGGAGGAGGCAAAGGATATTGCACAGTGAAATTCCAGGCTTAGTGAACAGCAGTCTCAAACCAGATTAAGAGCAAGACACAATTCCTCAATTAGTTCAGCTAGTTTCTCACTCAACAAGTCATCTTAAAGTCTAGTAACACAAATGCAAGAAGCCTCTCATTTCTTCAGGGCATAAGCAATGTTATTTGTTGTGTTTATAAAATTCATTCTGCACCATTGCAAATAAGTGTTGCTCTTCTGTTATAACACCATATTATATTTTAAAACTTAACTTTGGAATACAATTAGAATTTAGTATTTTGATTAGGCTAGTATTTTGACTTCCGAAGTGAAGAAAAGGAAGGTAGAGTTGAAAGATACTGAGAAAAGTGGTAGTTTTAGGTGAAGGACATAGTTAGAAAGAGTGCTTAAGATTTTGTTTTGCAAAATTGAGCGGGTAATGAGACTGCTAAGGTACAAACACTAGAGAATGTAAATTTTAGAGGGAAGATGAGTTTGGATAGACTGGAAACTGTAACTGTTTAATAAATAAGTAGTTGGAAATAAAGGTTGAAGTCTGAATTGGAAAAAACATACTTAGAAACCATTATTTTATAAATGCAGTGCATTACAAACTCCCACTTTCTTGAGACTAAAATGAGGATTTAAAATCCTTGAACTCCTGCTCCACAAGACGGAGATTTAGAGAAACCAGAAGACTTCTGGCTTAAAGAAGCAAAGTGGCGACAGACTTATAACGTAGCCGGTAGCACCTGAGAGCTAAGCCTTAGAGTAACCAACTCTATAATGTCAAAACAGCAGCATTTATCTAAGGAAAAGGGTAGAATAAGTAGATTAACAGAAATGAAAATTATATTTATTAAGGAAGTAGAGTGTGATTGCATTGTGGGTATTGTAATTAATATAAAATTGAATGAATATGAATGAATGAGAAATCAGTTTGCTCTGTAAACATTCACTCAATCATTATTTGAAAGAAGCTAAGAGGGAAGGCAGTGTTTTTTTTTTGTTTTGTTTTTTTTTAAGGCAGTGTTTTTGAAGTCAAGAATATGATCAAAACTTTACACATTGCAAAAAGATCAAGCAAGATAGAACATTAGAAGCAGTCTTATTTTTTTTTTCAATAATAAAATTTTTTCTTTAAATTGTGATTTTAACAAACGTTTACAGGAAAGTTGGGTTTTCATTCATTCATCGTTGCACATTTTTTCCCTCCCACTTTCCTCCCTCTCCTCCAGTCAGAGGTGGATTTTTAATTGTACAACCTTTAGGTTTTTATTGGTAAGGATAGAAATTCACTTCAGTAGGATCAATGAGAGAGCATGCTAAGGAGATGCAGACAACCTATGTGAAGTTTGTGTTTGAAGGGCAGGTGAAGGTAATAGGTGCAAGGGAAGGCAGGGTATAAGAGGGGATTTATTTTTTTGTTATTGCTGTTAACCACTTTTGTCTTAAAATGCTTTAAGGATTATCTCACAGAAAAAGGAAAGTTAAGGACAGGTAAGAGGGTACAAGATGAAGAAAGGCCTGGTGAAATGTGCCTGTGCCTGGTGTTCACACATGCATGCAAACTAATACACACATTTTCACTTTCAAACATCCTCATCACACCAGTTAGCCCACCATAAATGTCTTTTTGGACATGGATGTTACTTGGTAACTCAACTGGAAACTACAGAAATTTGCCATAAACAATGGGAAAAAAATGTTTTGTCTAGACTTCCTCCTTCACCATTGGAAGAAAGTCACAGACGTGATGAGCTCTATTTCAGAAATACTTTAATAAACTAGTTAGACTATGCCAAATGATCACACAGGAGGCATTTCTTCATATGTTGGTGTAGTAAGAGGAAAGAACCTCCAAGAAGTCAGTAACATTGTTTCTGTGGAGAGCACTGAGGGTTGGAGTTGAAAATTAACATAATAATACAGACTAAAAACTATTCCCCCCCCCCATACCTTGTATATTTAACGAACTATAAGAATACCCAGGAGTAGATAGCCCTGTCTGCAATATAAAAATAAGGTAGGGATAAAAATTCAGAATAAAAGATCTTTAATTTTTTTCACCAAAAAATAAATTAAGGTCCAGGGGACAAGTAAAGCTTAACTCTCCAGAGTGTCAGAACATGCCAGGAAGGGATGATTTGTCCTAGTTCTCATAGTCCTGAGCCCACAGTCCTTTGAGTATGAGAGATGGTGATTCTCTTAAATTATCAACAGAAAGATGGGAAGAAATTATATGGTTGGCATTGATGAAAATTCACTCCATGCTTTTAAAGAACTGTAATTTACTTCTTTTTGTCCGCTCAGAAGAGGAATGTTTATCATTGCAACAAATGCCGGCTGCAGTTTCTCTTTGCCAAGGACAAAATTGAACACAAACTTCAGCACCACAAAACGTTCCGTAAACCGAAGCAGCTGGAAGGCTTGAAACCAGGCACCAAGGTAAAGGTTTGCCACATTCTTTTTCAGAGGAAAGAAATAGAGATATTTTTAGTACTTTAAGATGTAATGTGGATAGTGTCTAATTATATCTTTCCACATACAGGTGACAATCCGGGCTTCACGAGGGCAGCCACGAACTGTTCCTGCCTCTTCCAATGATATACCTCCCAGCGCCTTGCAGGAGGCAGCACCATTGAGTTCCTCAGCGGACCCTCTACCTGTCTTCCTTTATCCCCCTGTCCAGCGCAGCATCCAAAAGAGAGCTGTTAGGAAAATGTCAGCGCCTTCTTCTAAACGCTGGGCGGGTGGGAGCTACATGGGCAGGATTATTCCGAATAGTGCAGCCTGGTAGTGATCTATAGCACCTACCATTTGGAGATCTTGGAGCCAGTAATCAAAATTTCCTTTTTTTTTTCCTTGGCAGGAGTGCCATGGGCCGACAGACATGTCTAGAATGCAGCTTTGAGATCCCAGATTTCCCTAATCACTTCCCTACTTATGTACACTGCTCTCTGTGCCGTTATAGCACTTGTTGCTCTCGAGCTTATGCCAACCACATGATCAAGTAAGTCATGTAATTAAACTAATTGTTTTCTGACTGGGAGTTTTGGTTCTCCAGAATTCATTTCACTCCCTCCCGTGCTCCTATTCTTCATCAGACTTCAGAGTTGTTTGTCTCTTTCTTCAGAATAAGAGATCAAATCTATGTTCATTGGGCTTTTAATGGCCTTAACTCTAATTTAGTAGCCTCTTGCTACTCAAATATGTTCCAGGAACTAGCAGCATCAGACAGGATTTCTTGTTAGAAATACAGATGTTATTTCTTGTTAGAAATACAGACTATCAGGCTCCACCCAGGCCTGTAGAATCAGTGTTCATTTAAGTAAATCCCATGTGATTGATTTTTTTGTATTTTAGAAGCACTAGTAGCAAAACTGTTCTGGGCTAGGATGAGTTTCAGAGGTTTCTCCTTTGTTGGAGATAATGATTGGTGATCTCTCCGTTGGCAGAGAACCAAAATTGATAACCATTTCTTTTGTCTTTTTTAGTAATCATGTTCCAAGGAAAAGCCCCAAGTATTTGGCTCTGTTTAAAAATTCTGTGAGGTAAGAAAAAAGTATTGGTGGTCTTTTTTTTTTTTTAGGTTTTTACATGAAATAATTTTAATTATGTAGGAAAGTGTGCTTGTTAATGAATTTGGAAAGATGAAAGGAATATACTCCTTCATTAAACCTCCATTCTCCATTTCACTATTATAGCTTTCCTTTTTATTATATATATGTATGTGTGTGTATATATATATATATATATATATATATATATATATACACACACACACACACACTTTATAAAGCTTCATTCATGTACATTTTTTTTCTGCTTCCTCCCACCGCCCAACTAACAAACTCTTCAGCCTCATGATTCCCACCTTTAGCCTCCCTGTCCTCTCCTCTTCCCTTTTTATATGTCCATACAGATATCACTGGTTAGCCTTCTGTTTTTTCATGATGGTTCTATACAGTATTTGTTCTTATGTGTCTGAGTTAGTTCACTCAGCATAATGGTCTCTATCTACCCTCTCCCATGTTCTATATATAGTATTTTTCAAAACCATTGCTCCTGAGTGCTGTGTAGTATTCCATTGTGTGAATATACCGCATTTTTTAGCCCATTCATTTGTTCATGACCATTTGGGCTGTTTCCATGTTCTTGCTACTGTGAATAATGCCGCTGTGAGCATCAGTCTACAGATCTCTGTTGTATCTCCATTCTGGTTTCCTTGGGGTATTTTCCTAGCCAGGGGTATAGCTGGGTCTTGTGGAATCTCTGTGTTCAGCTTTTTGAGGAAGCACCAAACTCTCTTCCAGAGTGTAACTTTTTTTAATATATATATTTTATTTTATTAATTTTAATGAACATTTACAGAGATTTTGGATTTTCATTCATTCATTGCAGAGTATAACATTTTACAATACCACCAACCGTGTATGAGATTTGTCTCCATATTCTCTCCAACATTTTGTTGCTTGCTTTCCTTTTAAAACTTTGCCACTGCTACTGGGGTGAGATGGTATCTCATTGTAGTTTTGATTTGCCTCTCTCTTATTGACAATGTACTATACATTTCTTACCTGTTTCTTATTTTCCCTCTAGTGGACTCAAACTGGCCTGCACTTCATGTTCCTTTGTTACGTCTGTGGGAGATGCCATGGCCAAGCATTTAGTATTCAACCCTTCTCACAGATCGAGCAACATCCTACCACGGGGTAAGTAGGAAAGATGATCAACTAGTAGATAAAGAAAACAGATCTACAAGTCATACTGTCATAAGTCAGAAGCCTCCCTTTTTGGCCTAACCCATCCCCTGTCTACAATACATTGAACCAAATTGAATGCATTCTTATCTGAAGAGTACTTAAGACTGGAAGGCCAGTAAATTTGTGAAGAGGTTGTGGAGTAAGTTTTTTGGCGTTTTTTTGTTTTGGGTGGGTTGGTTTTTCATTTAAAAAAAATTAATTTTAATGAACATTTACAGAGACTTTGGATTTTCATTCATTCATTGTTGCACTTTTCTCCCTGCGTAGCCCTCCCCCTCCTCCACCCCCCAGTTTGCTCCTCTCTTTGAAAAGTAAAAGAAAAATTCTTTCATTGGTATACAATCCCCCCATACCCCTCCCACTGCCCCGAGTACACTCCACTATGCAACCTTAATTGTGGACTCTTGTGATAACCATAATACCCTATCATATATCGCTTTTAAATTGTTCTTTCCCTCATCTGTTTCAGTGTAGTATACATAATTTATCCAGTTTTTCGCAGTCTTACCCCAACCTTGATGTCAGTCCCATTCTACAACAGTAGCACCGTGCAGTATTTGTCCTTTTATGACTGAGATATTTCACTCAGCATAATGTCCTCCAGTGTCACCCATTTTTAATATTTCCCGAGTTCCTTGTTTTTCAGTGCAGTGTAGTATTCCATTGTGTGATATAGCATTCTCTATCCATTCGTTTGTTGATGGGCACTTAGGTTGTTTCCAACTTCTTGCTATTGTGAACAAAGCTGGAGTAAACATGGGTGTGCATATATCTACTTGGATGTCGGTTATGGTCTCTTTAGGGTATATTCCCAGTATTGGAATTGCTGGGTCAAATGGTATCTCTATTTGCTACTTTTTGAGAAAGCACCATACAGCCTTCCACAGTGGTTGTACCATTTTACACTCCCACCAACAGTGAATAGGGTTTCAGTTTGTCCACAACCTCGCCAGCATTTGTTGCTTACTGTTCTGTTAAATTTTGCTATTCTTACTGGGGTGAGATGATATCTCATAGTTGTTTTGTGGTGGGTTTTTTTAATGAAATCCACAACACTGTTTTTGTTTCTTCACCAAGTTGAAATTTTTATTTTGTTTTTCCATAGGACTCACTTGGATGTCTCACTCAAGGTAACAAACTTCCTCATTTCATGATTTTATTTATTGTACATCATGTTTGATCTATTATTATTTTATTTCCAGGCTTTAATTGAGTTTTCTCTTTCTCTCTTTGATCTTGTACCCTCTTTAGGCATGGCCAGACCCAAGATCAAGTTCACGATCGGAACTTAAAGAATATGTACTCACCTCCTTCCTTCCCTCCCAACAAAGCCGCTACTGTGACATCTGTAGAAACTGCCCCAGCTGAACCTGAAGAGCCCCCAACTCTCATGGCCCAAGCCCTCCCATCACCAGCCTCAACTGCAACCCCACCACCCACCCCTACTCATCCCCAGCCTTTAGTGCTACCATCCTTGGCTTCTGAGGAGGCTGAATGTCTGAATGTTGATGACCAGGAGGAGGGGAGCCCAATCACCCAGGAACCTGAGCCAGTATTGGGCACAGGTAGTGGCAGTGGAATTAGCAAGAAGGAACAGCTGTCTGTGAAGAAACTTCGGGTAGTACTGTTTGCCCTATGCTGCAATACAGAACAAGCAGCTGAGCACTTCCGAAACCCACAGCGACGTATTCGGCGTTGGCTTCGTCGCTTCCAAGCCTCCCAGGGGGAGAATCTAGAAGGCAAATATCTGAGCTTTGAAGCAGAAGAGAAATTGGCTGAGTGGGTATTGACTCAACGTGAGCAACAGCTACCTGTAAATGAGGAGACCTTGTTCCAGAAGGCCACCAAAATAGGACGTTCTTTGGAAGGGGGTTTTAAGATTTCCTATGAGTGGGCCGTGCGTTTCATGCTACGACACCATCTGACTCCTCATGCCCGACGAGCTGTGGCACACACTCTGCCAAAGGATGTGGCAGAGAATGCAGGACTCTTTATTGAATTTGTGCAACGGCAAATTCACAACCAGGACTTACCCTTGTCTATGATTGTAGCTATTGACGAGATCTCCTTGTTCCTGGATATGGAGGTACTGAGCAGTGATGACCGAAAGGAGAATGCCCTACAGACAGTGGGCACGGGGGACCCATGGTGCGACGTGGTACTGGCCATTCTGGCAGATGGCACTGTCCTCCCCACCCTGGTTTTTTACCGGGGACAAATAGATCATTCTGCTAATGTACCCAACTCTATATTGCTAGAAGCAAAGGAGAGTGGCTACAGTGATGATGAGATCATGGAGCTGTGGTCTACCCGAGTGTGGCAAAAGCACACAGCTTGCCAGCGTGGCAAAGGCATGCTTGTGATGGACTGCCATCGCACTCATTTATCAGAAGAAGTACTGGGTATGCTTAGTGCCTCTAGCACTTTGCCCGCAGTGGTCCCAGCAGGCTGTAGCTCCAAAATCCAGCCATTAGATGTATGTATCAAACGAACTGTGAAGAACTTTCTGCATAAAAAGTGGAAGGAGCAGGCTCGGGAAATGGCAGATACTACATGTGATTCTGAGGTCCTGCTTCAGTTGGTGCTGGTCTGGCTTGGTGAGGTGCTGGGTGTCATTGGTGACTGTCCAGAGTTAGTTCAGCGGTCCTTCCTTGTGGCGAGTGTCCTCCCTGGCCCTGATGGTAATATTAACTCACCTACAAGAAATGCTGACATGCAGGAGGAGCTAATTGCCTCTCTAGAAGAGCAACTGAAGCTGAGTGGGGAACAATCCGAAGAACCCTCAGCTTCTACTCCCCGACCTAGATCATCTCCTGAAGAGACAATTGAGCCAGAAAGCCTTCACCAGCTCTTTGAGGATGAAAGTGAAACCGAATCGTTCTATGGCTTTGAAGAAGCTGACCTAGATCTGATGGAGATTTGAGTGTTTGGGCAGGGATGGTATGTGGAGATGGAGTAGAAAATTGTGAAGGTAGAAAGATTTATGAAGAGGGGAGTATACCAAGTGGGGTATTTGATTTATATTTTTAAATTTTATGCCACCACTCCTCTGATGTTGACTCATACTTTGCTGTGGATTTATGAATTATTTAGAAAAACCAATAATGATCATAACTGAGCTGAGGAACTGGCCCACTTCTGCTAAAAACAGGTTTTTGTGACTTTTTTTAAAAAAAATTAAAATCACTGTGTTTGTTATTTTTCTGATAAAAATCAAAAAAAGGAAAAAAAAATCCTTCGTGAGTGAATGTTAAAAAGTTTTGTGTTTCCCCTCTTACCTCAATTGTATCATAGTACTTCTGGATTTCTTGTTTTATTGTGTGGCCAATGTCTTTGGGCATGATGCTATCTAACCTTTGTCAATGTGAGAACATTTCTGAAGATGGGAAAGACAAATATGTAGCTCATAAACTGGTTTATTATATATATGTGGATAAAAAAATCCTTTTTCATTGTGGTCTTAACACTTTTATATAAAAATGGAAATGGAAAAAAAATCCCACTGAACTCTCTTTTCCTTTTCCTTCTTTCCTTCCCTCTCCAGAGATGTTGGTTTCTACAACTCTGGATATAAAATTGTGGCTTTAAAAATGCATGAAACCACCTTTAATCATCCAGAATCAATAGATTTTTGTCTGTTCTCACCTCTCCCCTCCTTCCCAAAAACACTCTAACCCTTTTCCCCATTCTCACATCTAACTCTTGACAAAGGATCATACCCATATAATTAGCATAAAAGAAGTACCATGGTTAGGATGGAAGCCATTCTTATTTATGGGTCTTCATCCAGCAAACTCCCAGGAGAATCCTTAACTTTGTTGAACTTCATCTTGTTAAATGGACAGTATGCCTGTTCAAAAAATCATTATGTCCTATAGCCAGGAGCTAATTTTGCAAGAGGTTAAAGTTGTTGAACTTGAAGACAAGACAAACTACTTCTTGAAGTCCTTTTACCTGTGGCTTTCCTGTATTTCTCTTAGAACTTATAGGAGACTCTGACGTGAAGAAACATAATGGATTGTGCACAGAGAAAGACATGAATCTTTATTTTTCACTGCCAGCTTCAAGTAAATTTTTTTTCTACAATTTGCATGTGACGGATTTTTAAATAATTGTATGTACTTAAGGTTATAGACTGAATTGTACTGTGATACACAGAGAAAAGGAGCAAAACCATCTTAACTACAGTCCATCCTGAGGCTTTCAACGTTTCCCTTCTGTGAGCCCAGAGAGGCAGCCTCCACAGGCTTGTAAATGATTCATCTTCAAAATGTACTTAAGCTGAACATTTAATTAGGGGAAATGGACTTCTAAACAATGGGTTCTTCTCCCCTATCCCCCACCTCCCATCACTCAGACTGGGATTCTCAAGATGTGATGGGTCAAGTGGTGCAAGTGTGACATTTGTTGCCACCTGTTTATCTTCCCCCAAGTCTCCCCCTCCCCTTTTTTTTAAATGCCCAGCGCACTATTGTATAGTGAACTGGAGTGATCCCTCCCATAAAGTTTGGTCAACTTTGTGAATCCATGGCATCTGAAAACTGAACTGATGATAAATTTGGGCTTTCCTTCTCCAGCTTTTTGCTTGATGCCATTTTATTGACATCATGTGGACTTTGACATCAGCCCTTTGCCTTTGAGAAAGTTCAAGAACTGATCGGTCAGCTCCATCTCCATGGACCTAATCACACTCTGGCAGTCTCCACAGCAGCCACAGCCTTAGCAGAGCTGGGTTCCTGGCCTCTGCACATTATTTGACTCTTGATGGGTAATTTTTTTTAAACACCATAATACCAACATGAATCAGCTGGGTTTTGGCCAGGAAATTATCTTTGTGGACTCTGCCTGCATGGCTTAGTAGTAGAAGGAAATTTTTGTTTTTTTTATAATTCAGTTTAATCAATAAACCAAGTATTTATTGACTTTTCTGTGTTAAGACTGTGTAGATTAAAACTGAAAATCATTTTTCTTTGCTAAATGTTCTAGTTTGTTGTAATCATGGATGATAAAAATGGAGGAGTGTTTTCTTCTGTCCCTCAGTTACGATATGACCTCACTGAATTTCTGGGTTTGTCCTTTACCAGTTTCTCAGAGGTCTGGTGAAAACAGAATCACCTGATCTTCATTTTTAAAATGGAGGTTTAGTACACTATGGAAATGTGATTTCTTAGTTTTCTATACTATTTCAATCACTTCTGACGGATGAACTTATGACTTTAATGAACACTTAGTAAAAATGAGATTTTTCTGACAATGCTAAAAATTCAGTCAGTCATGAATATAAATGTTCATATTAGATATTTAAATTTTTATGAAGGGTGAGGTGGTTAGATGGTGAGAGAGTTGAGCTGCCAGTTTCTAGCTTGGAAATAACCTTACACTGAGCACCCTACCAGATGCTGGCATTTCTAAAATGATACTTCAATTCAACCAGAAAACCCTTTCTTCAAGACTAACACAGTGGGGGGAAATGGTAAACAGAAAAACCAGTTATCAAAGATTTAACCTGGTCTCTAAACAAGGCTTCGACTCTATTATTACAGGAGCAAATGAAGCCAGAGGTCTGAAGACAGTGGGCTTCTGTACTGTCATGCATAGAATTATTTATTAGAAGACAGACCCAAAAGGTTCTCGGACAAAATGACATAAGGCAGTCCACATTTGTTGTGACCCAGTCAGAGAATGAACCACTCAGCAAGCGTTTCAAAGGATTTATTTTACAAAAGAAAAATCTACTTCTGAATCAGCCAAGTTCAAAGTTAAAAGAAGGGTACAACTTCAGTTCTGGATAATGCATCTGTGTTCATTCAAAGCCACTGCAAAGAAGAAAGCAGTTATACAATGGTGAAGGAATAGAAGGATCAATTCCTAGAAGCTCTCCATACAAAACACTTTCTACCTAGAATTGTTTTTGGAGTGAGACTTAAAGCCCAACTTAAAGTGTCTTTCCCAACCTATTGTTTTTTTTTACTACAATTTTCAATATAATTACCTGATCATGTGGGCAATATCCCAATTGGTATCTGCTGACAGTGGTCCCTCTATCTCAACACCTTTTTCTGTTACAGTGGCAATTTGAAACTGAAAGGAAGCAGAACCATCAATAAATTACTTCCCCCACATGAGGAAAGTCAGGTGTGAGTCAAGTAGAGTCTTCCCCTAGTTGGAAAACAGGAAACAAAGTGAGGCAACCTGGTCTTGAAAGGTAGGGATGCAGGGGAATTCCAAGTATCTGCCATTTTTCTTTCTCATAGCCCGTCCTCCTTACCCGATTATAAGAACGGGCATCGCGATAGTACAGCACTCGCATACATCGTTCCACTAGCTCTCGGGCTTCTGTCTGGCTTAGCACTGGCTGCTTCTCCAGAACATCTCTCAACAGAGGCTACAGAAATGGGGCAAAAGGGGAGAAGGGTATTACAGGCTACAAAGCAGATCTTTCCCATTTGTTGGAAACCTACTATAAAGTACAAATGCATGAAAGAAGACAGTCTACGTAACTGAGTCACCAAAATGAGTAATTGCTCATTCATGCACTTCTATTTCTTAGGGGTCTTCATACAAACTGACTTCCTTGTCACTGGAATGCAGGTACCCACTTACAGGCATGAAACTGTTGAACAGTTAACCCTATTACCCCTGTCAGAATCCCAGGGATCCTACTAACTCCCTTTGCCTTTTGAGTCCCCTCCTTACCTGAGCCAAGTATGCACCATAACCAGTGGCCAGCGAAGGAGCTTCATAGGCCACACCAAGCATGTCCACATAACCAAGGAAGCTAGTAGGACATAATAGGGTAAAAAAAAAAAAAAAAACACCTAAGATTATCATAGCTGAAAGGAGGGGCCATGGGGTTTAACTATGGGATTCACTTGGGAGTTAAAGAAGAGACATAATCCAGTAATAGGTGGGCAAGCAAACAAAGTGTACTCAAATCCACCTCTCTCCATCAGCGTAGCCTCCAATGACCATGGTGTTCCAGAGGGGGTTCATCTTTGAGCGGCGGCTGTACATGGCTCTGGTCAGCCATGAGTGGATGGCTCTAGGGCTGTAGCTGTGTCCATCTCCCAACAACTCCTCATCAATCCTTAAATTGGTTGTGTAAAAAAAAAAAAAAAGAATAGAAGCTTAAATCTCCACCCACCCCAAAAGAAATGTCAACAATTTTCTCCCTTTTATACCTCTTAATGCGGAACATTTTATTGCACACACTCCAACTTCCACCTGCTCAAGAGTTCTCCCTCTTCCTTTGCAAGCCTCCCATCTCTTCTAAGGGCTGATTAAATGTACTTTCCCCTTTCCACTTGGAAACCATTCCCTGGATGACTTACACCATCTGGCCAAGAACCTGCTTCAAATACTGGAAATCAGCATAGTCTCCCGAGGCACCCAGCATGGTGCTGTTGTTAACTCGCATGATACGAGAGATGTTGCGGAAACGAGCCAAGGAGCCATACGAACCCAGCATATCTGCTGCAATAACCACTCCGCCTTCAAACTTAACACCGAGAACTGAGGTCCCCGTCACCATGGGGTTTCTGGAGAATGAGAAAAATCAGCGAGGGAGGAGGTGCCTGAGTCCACTAGACCCCCGCGTACCCGGTCCTGCTTCCAGTTTTCCGTGGCATCCACTTCCTCAACAACATGCCTCCGGAAATTGTATGAACTTTGATAAATGTCGACAGCTGTAGAGGGGCTTCAGGCCTTTTGTTCATAGGGTCGCTATGAGTCCTGCTCGGCTCCAAGGCAATCAACACCACCACCATCCAATTATCCTGTATTCTGCAGGACTCTGTGCCCAAGACTCCCCCGATGTTCGCATGCCCCCAGGTCCTCGTTAGCTTTCCCCGGCTCTTGCAGAACAGCGGCCGTCCCAGGCCTCCCAGTCCCTCCCCCTACGCGAGTCAAGGCGCTGAGACTTACTGGGTGCGCGTAATCGGACCCCCGAATGGCGTGGACACCGGATCCACCAGTGAACCGGGAGTAGGTGGGATGCGGTAAAACTGCCCCGGTGCCGGACCCCCGGCCCAGTGTCCAGACCGTGACTCCAGAAACGTCTCCATCTTAGTCACGATAGCAGAGGAAACGAAAGTGCACTGCCGACGGAAACGGAAGCGGCTCTCAGATGCCACGCCTCTCTCCTTCCTGCGGCCACCTCCAGCCGCCATGCTCGTGAGGTCATCGCCGGGTTTTCTTTTTGCCCAGCGCTGTCATTTGGTTTGGTCTGTGGTAGGCTGGGTCGGAGTGCCGTGACTCGCGGGTTCACGGGGCGGAGCTGGGGGCTGTGAGGGAGTGCTTCTGCAAGTGGCCGAGACCCTGACCTTAGCCAGTCATCGCCAGGGGTCAGCGCCAACTCCTACAAACCTTCAGCGGGCTTTCCGAGATGTAAATAGCTGCAGAGGAGATACGAGCTTAGGAGCCGTAGGGAGCCGCCGGTAGATGGCAGCACAGCTTCCTGTGGTCTGTGCCACCTGAGATCCTGAGCCTACAACTATTCTCATGTCGCTTTCAGAACATTGTTAAAAAGCCTCGCATAAAAATAAGAGTGAGCCCAGGATCTCCTTCATTTCAACCCCTCAGAGTCGCCCCAAGCTGTAGGCATTAATCAACCTATTTCAGGTTAAGAAACTAAGGTGGTGGTTTCATGATTTATCTGGTCACACAGTAAATAACAGGCTTCAAATCAAGAATGTATACAATATTTTGGGTCAGGTACCCACTCTCTGTGGAGCATTGGACAAGTCCCTGAAAGTTTCCGTATTAAACGTCCTTATTTACCTGTAATCAGTAGGAAAACTCCATTGAGAATGGGAGATGAAACTAAATTCCAGAGGTTCCCTTATCTAAGTGATTTCTCTAGTAGGGATTAGAAGCAGTGTTTGGCATCAAACAAATGAACCAGAAACCAACAGCCTGTTCTGTGATTGTCATTTCTTCCTATACAACTTGATTTTGAATTTTTTACTCTTTGAAAAACCAAACCAAATTTCTTTTTAAATCCATGAAACTAATTTAAACCAAAGCAAAGCATGAACTTTTAAGCTATTCAATTGAAATAACACACATGTACATATAGCTCTTTAGCACTTTAAAAGAGATCCTTGACAACAGATTTCCCTAATGCAACACATTTTTGGTTTCTTGACTGCTGCCACCGTGGGTGTTAAATGTAACTTCAAGTAAAATGAAACCTTTTCTCCATCTATCACGTTGCCTGTTGGTCCAGGGTGAAGATTTTTTTTTCTCCTCCGTTCTTGATGTTGAGATGTAATCCATACTGAAGACTGTAGTCCTTGGCCTTCTGCAATAAATGCTTCCTGTCATCTCAACTTACAGCAAGCAAGATTGTTGATGAGTCTTCTTCAATCTTGATGCCACATTCTTCCTCATAGAGTTCAGTTTCTCAGCATACAGATTGAATAGATAACAGAAAGAATCACCCCACCACCACCTTTCCTGATTTTATACCGTGTTCCCTTGTTCTATTCATACATCTGCTTCTTGGTCTATTTATAGGTTTCACATGAGCATGATTAAGTTAGAAGATTCCCTTTTTTTTTATTTTATTCACAATTTGCTATGATCTACACAGTTAAATGCCTTTGCATGGTCAATAAAACACAAGTAAACAACCTTCTGGTATTCTTTCCACCAAGATCCATCTGACATCAGTAATGATATTCTTTATTCCATGGCCTCTTCTGAAACCACCTTGAATTTTGGGCAGGTTCCTCTACGTGTACTGTTTAAGTTTTTAATAATCTTCTGCAAGACTTTACTTGCATGTGATAGTAAAGATATTGTTCAATATTTGCCACAGTCTATTGGATAATCTTTCCTGGGAATAACTTTGTATTTCTTCCAGCCAGTTGGTCAATAATTTTCTTCCATATTTGTTTACAGAGATTAATGAGCATATCCAGTTTTCCATCTGTTTCCTTAAGCACCTCAATTGTTATTCCATCAATTCCTAGGGCCTTCTTTTTTTTGGCAGTGCTTTCATTGTGACTTTCATTACCACTGGTTCTTCCTAAAATGATACAATGTTGATCAGTTCTTTTTGAAACAATGAGCAAAGTATTCCTTCCCTCTTCTTTAATGTTTGCTGCATTATTCAGTATATGTCCACAGCATTACAATTCAAGGCTTGAATTTTTTCATTTCGTTACACTTGAGAAAGCTTCCCGTAAATCTTCTAATTTGTGCCTTTCAAATTTACATAGTCACCTGGTTGAATAGAAAGTGGTCCAGGTAATTCGAAACCTTATTTATTAGAAGCCTCTTTAACTTGTCACAGGTATTCTTTTGGGTACTACATGGACTGCTAGGAGAACAAACAGATCTGTCCTGGAGAGGGTTAAGCCAGAATGCTCCTTGGAGTCAAGGATTCTGAAGCTTCATCTGACATACTTTGGGCATGTTGCAAGGAGGGACTGGTCCCTGGAGAGGGACATCATGTTTAGGAGAGTGGAGGGACAGCGCAGGAGAGGA